GGCAGCCCAGCTCCAGGTTGAGCTGTTGTTCAGCATCTTAGCTGTAGAGGGCAGTGTCACTGGCCCTCATGTGGGATCCGAACCAGGGCCCTCTGCTGTCCCAAGCCAGTTCTTAAGCATCGCGCCACTCGGCCGGCCCCCCATGACTATTTTTTAAAACCTAATTATCTTGTCTCTCCCAGCTTGTGTCATTAGCTGCTTTGGTAATCATTCTTCCTGGGTCTTGATCCAGACTGTCCAGGGGTGGGATGGGTTGGGGACGCCATAGTCTTTAAATGCCAACAACAGGAATAGGAACAGACTCTTCCCTCCAGGTTGATGACTATCCATTACTCGTACTTCTGGAATTTAGTTGTTCAGCTCTAAATCCCCTCACTGCACTCCATCTAGACCTCACAGGCACCCTCCGGGTGGGAAGATCTTATCAGAGATTTTGTCAGATTTCTCACTGAAATCAAAGTCCACTGTGCTTTTAACATGGTTATAAATGGGAAGCAGGGAATGTCAGCTGCTTTGGCCCTCCATGCGTTGTATGATACAAGTGATTTCCCACTTAAAATCACTCCAATAAACAAATAGTTTTCATTTGGAATGTCATGAAATTGGAGCTATGTTATGAAGGTCTTATAAAGCTGTTATGCCTGGTCGCATTAATTATTTTGTCCCAGACAGATAAAAACTCAATGATACATCTATTTCTTAAGCTGTGTGTGTGTGTGTGTGTGTGTGTGTGTGTGTGTGTGTAAAATACATATAATGCATACAGTGTTTGCTCTGATTGTCCTGTTTTCTCTGGTAAGCTGGTCACCCAGATGATGGCTGCTCTTGCGTGCACTGGACCCTGTTTACTCACCACTGGCCACACCACTGGGGATGGCCAGCATGAGCCAGGAATTAGTTGTAGTAATGGTGGGAGGTAAAAGGGTCATGGCTGAAGGTGGGGGTCCAGGTGGTGTCCAAGCCACAGCATCGAAATCATAGGACCCTGGGTACAAGTGACACAAGTGACGTTGTTAGCAGGAGCCCCATATGTAGAGCTGATTCAAGCAGTAGCATCTTGTTGAAATAGAGATGGGGGACTCAGAACACTGATGGCTGTGCTTCTTCTCTTCCTAACTCCCGCCCCCCAGCCCCCCGCATCGCTCCACCAGCATTCCCAGGACAGGTTACAACTGCTGGGGTCTAACATAGTCCCTTTGTATATTGGGAACCAGACCCAGAAAGGAGTAGCTCCCTAATTTAGGGCCAGAGTGTGGGTCACAGGTGGAATCATCCTGGGCATGCAGATCAGCCTAAATATAAGATTTCTGGTCATAAAGCTGAAAGCTAGACCTTCATCTCCCTTCCTCACATGCGACTCTAAGTTATATTTTTATCTGTGTAATTAGGGATTTATTTAACGGCGCTGTTTTAAAGAAGCAGTTGTTACACAGATGCAGCTTTGAGGCTCTCAGAGTGTAAAGATGCCTGTGTCCCGGGGATTAACTCAACCCTCCAGAGGTAGCAAATCTGCAGCTTTATTCTCATGGCGCTCAGATGTGCTTTTCTTTATTTCACTATTCACTGCACCTCCTTAACAGCCTACTGCCTGGCTGGGTAGCAGTTGGCTAATCTCGCCAATCATGTAAACAGCTAAACAGTCAGTCTCCTGAATGTCTGGTCTCCAAGAATTCCACTCCTCCCGGCTACTCCTCTCAGAATTGGCTTCAAGGAACAGCAGTGATTTCTCTACCTCCCTGGTGAGGAAGGCGACAGGTTCTCAGATGGATGGAGCCATGGGGAGCCTCACTACCCTCCCATGTGGAAAGGCCAGGACTAGTTCCACCCGGCCTCTGCTGGTACCTCCTACCTGATTGGCAGCTGAAGGGACAAGCCATCAGGTCTTGCCCTCTGCTCCACCCATCCCCCCAGATCCTGCAGCTCCCCGTTCAGCACCCTCCATGTTCCCCAGAGCGCCTTGTACACCACGTAGGATCCCACAGGAGCTGGCAAGTCCAACCAGGCTCCCTTGCTTCCATACCTCACTGGGCTGCCCTTTGCACTGTGCCAGGAGTGCTCCATTTTGACCTGGAGCCACTCTGTCCTTCCTGATGGGAGAGGGGTCCTCTTACCCTCAGCATGCGCTTAGACTCTCAGCAAACCTCTCCCCTTTCCAGGGCCTCCTTGGGGAGAGGAGATGAGGACACACATCTGGCCACCCACCTCTCTCCTTCCTTCAGTCACAGACCTCAAGGGCAGGCGTTCCACCTCCCTTTCTTGCCTGATAGGGTTACTCCAGTGGGTCCCCTCTTGATAAAGGAGCAGATAAAAGAACTTAGACAATCCTCTTTCGGCAAAAACCGGACTTTCAAAACTGTTGCCTGGCTAAGAAAATCTTGTTCTGAATCTGCATGTTAACCTTTCCTTTCACATCGCTGCACTAGCAGCCTAATCCCACGCTGTGGATGTGCAGACCCACTCACGCCCACAGATCCATTAGGCTGCAGTACACTGTGGCAGGCACTGGAGAGAGGGGACCAGGTAAGAGGCGGGAGGAAGCCATCCTGGGAGGCACAGGGAACTACAGCATTACAGGGGGAGAGATAGGCAGATGACAAGTGAACTCCCACACTGGCTTCCCAGCACCCCAAAATCCACACCTCCCCCTCCTGGGCGAGACACCCCACTCAGTGACTCACGTGAGAAAAAGGGCAGATGATGGAACAGATCAACGAAAGTCGCTTGGCTTTTGCCTCAGGATCCTGATGAGGGGAACCAGCACTCCATAACCATAAGACCTCCATGTCACATGTTCTGAAAGTGACAAACTCAGCTAACAAAAATCTTTGAAATATTTCCCCCCTTAAAGTCATACCCCTTTTATTCTTCTGCAGGAATGCCATAGTGTCTTCCCTTTCAAATGTACATCTGAATCTTTTTTCACGTTCATTTTACTTGCTTGTTGTTACTCCCCTGCTTGCAAAATATATGCTTGAATTCTATTTCCCACTCATGTTAAGTTTGGATCTCCAGTATTCTAGAAAGTGAAGGATAAGAACTCTTGGGCTGTACTTATGTATAAAAAGAGGACCTAGCTGTGGACTAGTTGATTCTCCCTTTGATTCTTCTTGCACAAAGATCTTGAGTAGTGATAAGTGGCAATATATGCAATATGTTACACTATCCTCTCCTAACGTATCATATATCATATTCTATCACATCACATCATATTACATCACATCGTATCTTATCTCCAATATATAACGTCAGGTGGTTATAAGAGCCAGGAAGAAAAATTATAAGTATAAATGGGACTGGGAGTGACAAGAAGGTGCTGTTTTATGTTGGGTGGTTAGGGAAGGCTTCTCTGATGTGACATTTGGGCAGAGACCTGTAGGATGACAGAGAGCCACCCATGCTGCAGTCTGTGGCAGAAATGTTCTGGGCATAGGGAACAGCTGGTACTGGCTGCCTTGTCAGGGCTTATAGCCCTCCCAGCAAGTGGCCTCCCCGTGTCCCCTCAGTCCCTGCAGGTTCTCAGCTCAGCTGTGTTTCCCCCACCCAGGGTCCCCTACACACCTCACATGTGGCCTGAAGCCCTAAAGGTGGGCTTGTTCAAGGAATCACGAGGAGTCCAAGATGGTCATAGGAGTTGAGGTCAGAGAGGTAGTGGGCCAGTTATGTGGGGACCTTATGTGGATATACCACATATTTATCCATCTGTTGATGGACATTTGGGTTGTTTCCAGTTTTGGCTATTGTGATTAATGCTGCTATAAACGTTTGTGTAGAAGGTTTTATGGGGACACGTATATTCATTTCTTTTGGGTATATGCATAGGAATTAAATTACTAGGTCATATAGTAACTGTATTTTAGTTTTTAGGACCTGTGAGACTTTTCCACAACAGCTGAACCAATTTATGTTCTCACCACTATTGTACTGAGGGTTCCTATTACTCCACATCCTCACCAATACTTGTTATTGTCTGTCTCTTTAGTTATAACCATCCTAGCGAGTGCTAAGTTACAGCTCATTGGGGTTTTGATCTGCACTCCCCTAATAACTAATGGTGTTGAGCATCTTTTCATATACTTGTCGGTTATTTGCATATCTTTTTTGAGAAATGTCTCTTCAAATCCTTTGTCCATTTTTTATTTGTCTTTTTAGTGTGAGTTGTAAGGTTTCTTTATATATGTTGGATACAAACTTCTTGTCAGACATGATTTGCAAATATTTTCTCCCATTCTGTGGGTTGTCTTTTGCACTCTTGATAGTGTCCTTTGAAGCACAAAAGTTTTTTAATTGTGATGAAGTTCAGTTTATCTGTTTTTTTCTTTGGGTATTTATGCCTTTGGTATCATATCTAACAAATCATTTCCTAATCCAAAATCATGAAAATTTATATTTTCTTCTAAGGTTTTTATAGTTTTAGCTAGCATTTTTTGGTTTTAAACAGCATTTTTTTAGCCCCTTTTACTTTAAATACATGTTGTATGCTTTACTTTATTGTTCTTCACAGAAAAATAAGCCAGTGTCCCTCAGTTGAAAAAAAAATTCCCTCTTTAAACTGTACATATTAGAGTGATCAAAGACAAAAGTTTTGTCTGCCAGTAGTGTTATCATTTATATAATACTGTTTGTTCTACATAAAAATTTTCCTCTGTTTCCAAATATCTTCTTTTTCATTTCCTAATAACTAAAAATTGGGCATTTGCTTGCTCATTTCTTTTAAAAAAATTTGTAATAGAATCCAAAAATTTTCATTTACAAATTAAATAGCTGAAATAAATTTATTTTATGCTGCTAGTTTAATGTGTCCTAATTAAATTAAGATTGTATGTAATATTGCAAGAAAGTATTTCAAAATATTTACTCAGAGAAAACATTATAGGCATCTTTTTTATAAACCATCAATTGACAGGTTATTCTTAATATATTCACGTCTATTCCAAGAATTCATTAGAGCAGTTTCCCAAGAAATTTATAAGCAGCATTTCTTTATTCTTTATGCAATTTTTATATAATCTAGAAGCTGTGCAATGTTTTCCTTAAAATAGTACTTTATCATTTTCTACAAAAGTTTTGCATATTCGTGTTTTTTTTTAAAAAAAAACACATTAACACAGATAAGCCAAAAGGAAAACATAATTAATTTTCTGAAATCCTGCCACCTAGCCATATCCTCTCTCATAGAGAAAGTGAGTTTGAACTTGACTTCTGAAAGCATTTTCACTTGAGAAAACTCTTCAATCTCAAAGCCCCAGCAATGAAGAACAATGTTTTCAGCCGATTTGTTTCTTACTGGAAGTTTGGAGACAATTGATTTATGTGTTCCTTTAAACCGAAGCCATTGGCACTATTGTTTTTCTGGTTTTTTTCCTTGCAGGTTCCATTCCTTTTTGCTCTTTATGGGGCATCCACCTTATGCAATCCGGGAAGTGAACATAAACAAGTTCTGCAGGATCATCAGTGAATTTGCATTGGAGTATCGCACCACCAGGGAAAGGGTTTTGCAGCAGAAACAGAAGCGGGCCAATCACAGAGAGAGAAATAAGACCAGAGGGAAGATGATCACTGATGTGAGTTTCATGAAATCAGCCTCTTTATGTCATTCTGAAAGTGCAACCAACCGTAAAACCTCCCACAATTTGGGAGCTGTGGTTTTTTTCCTTTTCTTTTTTAATGTGGGGGGGAAAAATCCCTCTTTTAAAAAGTGCTCTTAAACTGCTCCTCCACCATTTCTGTGACAATCTGCTGTATAACAAATGAGGAACTAGGACGTGTAAGTTAAGAATGTGTGACTGGTGGAGGAACTTGTGACCCATGTGGGTGTGTTGTATGATGCTGATGACATTAAATGCTTGATTCCATTTTCAACCTCTGTGATGTGAGTACAATTGGAGAAAAAGAAAAAAGAAATATGAAGGATAATGCCACTCAGGAAAGCAAATGTACTGATTTAGGAATTGATTCAGAATTTCCGTCATCATGAAGGTGCTATATAACCAATCAGTTGACACATGAACCACCCCTTCCAGGCATCTGAATAGAGAAATAATTGATACGGTTGCTCAAAGATGTAATCTGACAGGCTCTTGGTAGTCCCTTGAGTCAGAGAATATCAGGGTGGGAAGAGATCCCAGAGGACAGTGAATCCAGCAGGAGTTCCCCTTGGGAGTCCTTGCATACTTACATGCCTCTCCCACTTTTGGGCTCTTCCCCTTCCCCCCTCATCTCAGTTCTGAGCCCACTGGGCCATGGGTGCAGTGGGTATTCAGATGGGAGATGCTTCATAAGGTGGAGCGGAAAGGGATATGTGAAGATGGAAGAGACATGACACACAAGGCAGGTACCTCTTTTTGGTGGGTCTTTATGAAATTTACCCCATCTGTGTGTGTGTGTGTGTGTGTGTGTGTGTGTATACCGTATTTGCTGGCGTATAAGGCGATTTTTTGGCCCTGAAAAATATGCCTCCAAGTGGGGGGTCGTCTTATACGCCAGGTACACTTCAGATAGACTGCCCATAGTGCTTGCCCCGTGCCATAGTGGCCTCCCGATGCCCGCCCACTTCATTCCACATACCGTTCAGGCATCAGCAGCGCTGCTGGGTGTATGCTCGGCTGTTTGCGATTTTGCGAGTGTGGTAAATTCGGGTTACCGTATATTTCTTTACATATGCATTGAAGATTCGCGATTTTGCGCTATCATGGTGCCTGTTAGAATGTTGAAGAGCTCGCACTTGCGCACTAGTGAGGTCCCAGGGAGATGCTGATGCAAGGGTGGACCAGACTGCTATAGTGACAGGGCGGGCAAACAGGGAGCAGGGACCAATCAAATCAGGCTTTGTATACAGCCAACAGCCAACCACAATACTGCACCATTGTACAGTACAGCATAGAAAATGTCGACCAGTCAAACCCCTATCATCCCTATCATGGCACCAACCAAAAGAAAGAAGTATGATGCAAATTTTAAACTGAAAGTTATAAACTTTGCTAAGGAAAATAATAATTGTGCTGCTGCAAGACAATATGGAGTAACAGAAAAGATGGTTCGGGACTGGAAATCAAATGAGAAAGCATTAAAGAGTATGCCAAGGGGTAAGTGTGCATTAAGAAGAGGCACCCCATACTGGCCAGAACTCGAAAAACATGTAGCAGACATGGTGGCTCAACATCGCCAAAACGGTTATGTGGTGACACGAAATACAATACGCTTGTTTGCACTTCAGTGGGCCAAATCAAATCTGATATTGTTTTACCTTTTATTTGGTGTGTGGAAGGTGTGCGGAAGAGGGGGTAGTCTTATACGGCGAGTATATAACAAACTCTGTATTTTGAGTGGAAATGTTAGGGGTCGTCTTATACGCCCAGTCGTCTTATATGCCGGCAAATACGGTATATATATATATATACATATATATACACATACATGTATATATATATATATATATTTGAGAAGCATCTTGGCTTTCAGTGATACAGGGAATGGAATACATAAAAGATTAAGCCATAGGGAGTGCCGTCACCCTGAGGGTTGCAAGCCTCAGCTGAACTCAAGTCATGCACATTTCTCTGGGGAGGAATAAAATCAATTAAGAAGACCTCATGGAGACTGCCTTCTGTGCCCAGGTGGGGGTTCATGTTGTAGGAGAAACAGAGCGCACATGACAACTGTCCACATTCTTGAGGGGTCTAACCTTCCCATGGAGACCCGAATGCATTATCTTAGAAATTTTGCTATAATTTTAAGGCAGTTCTGAGCAGAACTAAGAAATAGTCTTCTCACCATCCACCCCCACCCAGACCCCTTGTTTGTTTTTTGTTTGTTTTTTAATTTTCTGGACCCTTAGAGTGCTCAGATCACTTTTTTGCAAGAGTGCTTTCTACAACACCCTGGCTGTTCTGACTGCACTGCCATCAGCTGAGAGTCTTTCGTCTCCTCTCCTGAAATCTGGGTTCAATAGGATCTTTATCCTCCTGGAGGACAGCAACTCAGGAAGCAAACTAAATCCACTTGGGCAGACTAGGGTCCACATTTCATTCCAAAGTATTACTTTTAAAAGTTTTAAAAAGGGACTGCTTATTTTTGTGGAAATGAGACACATTAGAGGGTGAAAAATACAAGCCCATTATGCTTACAATTATGAAAACACATCAACATTTCTAGATAAATTCTTGAGATTTTTTTTTAAGAGATCCCACTAATTTTTAACTTCGATCCTTCTTGAAAACATTCAGGTCTCTTTTTTATACACAGGGGTAAAGTTTTCTGGAGTTTGACTAAAAAAATATTTAAATTCCCATTAAAATCTGCACAGTACAGGTTTTTTCAGGGTTCATCCTCGACAGTCCCACAAAAAGTGGCATCATTCGTGTAGAAAGATTGCCATCTGCTGGAAAATTAGGATATTGTCAATTAAGGCAAAGGATGGCTTCGAGTTCACCCATTTCAATTAAGCGCCTACTGTGTGCCCAGCAAGGCACGGGTCACTAAGGAAGATGGGGGTGCAATAAAAGACAAGTTTATTCCCTAGGGATATCACAACCTGGTTAGGAAACAGCATATCCACAACTTAAAACACTGAAAACAAAACCAGGCACTAGACTGAGAATCACAAAGCCCCAGAGCATCAGAGCTGTATGCAATTTTTAGAGGAAGCTGTGTAGAAAGTCGCTTTTAATATAGATGAAGATGGAAGTGGTATAGCAATTAAATAGAGATGATTTTAGGAAAACCATCATTTTTTGAGGCACAGAGAAGTCTGGGTTAAATCGAAAGACCCTATATTTGTAGTCAGACCCACATCTGCTCTTGTGTGTCTGTCTCTCTACTTCTTTCTCTGTTTCTGAAGATGCAAAAGTCTTCCTTTCTTAAAGTCCAGGAGTCCCCCCCCACGGGAAGATCAGTGAGAAACTAAGCATTTCCTCATCCTGGTGTCCCAAACTATTTCTCAACAAAATGATGATATAAGCAAGGCACCGCAAGGCAGCTGTGGCCCTGTCTGCTGTCACTATACTCCAGATGGGCTATGAGAACTCAGGCTTTCCACCCCAGGACTCCCACATGAGGGGGGCAGTGGTAATCCTGGGTGAGGCCCTTGCCCTCGCTCAACCCCGGCTTCCTCTTCTGTGAAAAGGGAATGCTAGTTACTTTGGGGGGATATCAAGAAGGATATAGATTTTGTATATTGGCATCTTGCATATGTGCTAATTGCTGAAAAAATGCCAAACATCCTGGTTAAGTAAATAAGCTCTAAGATTTAAAAAGAAAGAAAAAAAGTACAGCAGGTCTGTCATCTCTTGTCGTGATGCCATTTGGCCAGGGGCAATGTGGAACGGGATGAACTGGAAGCATTTTGTCATTTCAGCTTCTTCAAGTTTACTTAATTCTCAGACACCTTGTGCCTGATTTGCTGGAGCTTTGCAACCTCGGTGGAAACAAACACAAGTTAAATTGAGGGTGTGTTGAATTTAAAATCAAGAGATTTACACAACGTTCACCCCCAATTTATTTTTGGAAAAGGTGTATTTTATTTGAAGTTATTTAAGGAAGCTAATCTGGTGAGAATTAAAAGTATATAGCACGTCAGTTCAGACAGCCTCCATGAGGGACAGGTAAGATTGTAAAATGAATTCAATTTCGTGTTTCTGAGGAGAGAGTTATACGACACATTCTGCTTGGGCAGTTGTTCCTCCTGTCCTGTCTGGCCTATGTGTGGAAGGATTGTCGGAGGCCCAGACCCAGCAGCCTGGACAGGGAAGGGTCTAGAACTTGGGATGAGAGGGGAGACGGCAGCCGACAGGCAGAGCCAAGCAGATGGAGGCCAGTCCACTTACTGAGGCCCTGATGGCACACAGGTGGTGGTGAGCTCCATAGGATGTGGCCAGCTGAGTGGCAGGGCCCAGAGCTGGGAGTGAGGTTTCGAGTGGTCAGGGAACCAGGCAAGCCGGCTATCAACCTTATGGGCAGCCTCAGGAGACTGGCCTAGAGCCCCACACATCCCTTCTGACTTTGGTCAGGAATGATCTTGGGGCTCATTCAGGGAAGGCAAGAAAGAAAGAAGGCTATGCAGGCAGGGCCTGGCAGCTTCCAAATCAAGAGGGTGTACCTTGGTTGTGGGGACCAATTTCTTTATTTGGAATTTGATGTGACATGGAGATGACCTCATTTTGCTGACTTCTGTGCCTTCTAAGAAGCCCTTCTGTCTTTTTCATCCTGTCCTGTTCTCTTGAGTAGACTGATGAAGAGGATGACGTGGAGGTACGACTCTTTATAAACATGAAGAATGCCATGTTTGACCCTCCCAGGCGTGCTGTAGAGTCTAACCTAACATAAGCAGCATGAAGTGTCAGCACCATTCAGGACTTTAAACCATGCATGGGTTTTTCTGGTTGGCTTCTGTGTGATCACTCACATCCTTAACGTGGATTCTGGTCATGCTGTGTGTGTGCCAGGGACAGAAGGGTGAGCTGCATTTTCCGAGCTGTCCCTGAGTCCCAGGCCCTGTCCGGAGTGGCAGGTTCAGCGGCTCTCTCCCTATTGCTAGAAAAGTGGACAGAGAATTTTCCCTCCAGGACTTGTCTGAGACTTTTGGCAACACAAGTATAAGAGAACTGGATTCTAGAATAACCACATCAAGAGCCCTAAAACCAAAGAGGAAGTGGGGCAGTGGCTGAAGCCAGAGACATGGTCGCCAGCTGTGGGCAGCCTCAGACTTGTGCTCATTTCCTCGGTTGGCATCCACTGGATCTGGTGGGATCAGTGTGTGAGGGGTGGGATGGCAGGCGTCCTTCCTCCTGGTTCTGGGGCGGATGCCAGAGCCGGAATCCGACTCGGAGATGATCGGCCCTGGCACATGAGGAGGGAGCAGTACAGATGGACCAGCCACAGATGTGTCCTGGACTTCCTGTTGCCACTGCTAAGACACTGGATGAAAAGAGGAAGCCCAGAATCTATGGAGCTCCTCTTTGCAAATGTGAATCTAATAGACGTTTTATTTTTCATCCAGATGTGGGCACTGTGTGCATATGGCCCGATGTTCTTGCATACTTCTTGTAAAACTTCTATGTCTTGAATCTTTGTTCAGCTGGAAGTAGAGAATATCATGTGCTTGTAATGCTTGTTAAAACAACTAAATTTTTGACACAACCAGAAGTAGTGAGTGTTGCCAAAGTCAGTTTCAGCATGAATTTCTGAGTCACGTTCTGATCTGGTCCCTGAAACAACCCCCCTTGGGGCCTTTGGCAAGTTGCCTAACCTCGGAAGGCCTCAGTTTCCATCTCTGTGAAGTGAGATGGGTCTGGATTTGGAAAAATTCTTCTCAACTCTTAACATTGTATGATTTTATGACTGGGTGCCCCTTTACAAATTTTACCATTGTAATTGATATATAAGAAAATTTCAACTGCTTTCAGGTGCTCAGTTAAAAAAAATAATAATAAAGCTCAATACATTTGATTAACAGGGCATATTTCAATTCTCATATCAAGGTTTTGGTGTTAGAAATAGATTCACTTTCTGAGTGCTTCCCAGGGCTGATGTCAGCCTCCCCTAGCAGGCCCCCAGGGAGGGAATCTGCAGTGAGCCAAGAGACCCCCTACAGTGGAAGGGTGGGTGAGGTCCTTCTGGAATCAGAGCTTTTCTTTCTGATAAGAGAACTTCCTGTATACACAGATGTTTTGTCCTTATTTCATCCACAACCTCAGTGACTGCCATAATGAACGCGTCTGCAGAGTGCACACAAACCAAAAAGACTAAGAGGCAGATGGAAAATAAACAGTTTTCCTCAACCAAACATTTACAAGCTTGAGTTGGCTTTTGGGGAGTCACCTCATGCCCTCCCCTCTCCCCCACCCCCTTTTTGGTCTTGCAGTCCGGCAAGTTCTCTGGCAGTTCTCCGGCACCGCTGAGCCAACTACAGGGCCTGAGCTATGCTGAGGACGCCGCTGAGCACGAGAACATGAAGGCTGTGCTGAAAACCTCATGCCCCATCGTCGAGGACACTACCCCGGTGCTGGGTGTTCGCACACGCAGCCGAGCGAGCCGAGGTAACTCTGGGGTGGGCAGGGCGAGTCTTCCCAGTTAGCCACCCATGGGGTGAGGTCCCTATCAGAGGGTATAGCTTACCGGTACAGTGGCTGCTAAGGGCTGTCAACTCCCCAGGGCTCCAGTGCTGACATAATCACATGCTTCCCTTTACTCACACCTTTGTGACCCATCTTCCATAGCTTCATCTCAGGAACTAGCAAAAGTATAACTTAATTCACACAAGAGAAATTATTATTGTGAGTGAATTCTCATGGGGTATTGCAGGAGTTGGCAAACTACACCCCCAGGTCAAATTCAGCCAGCCACGTATTTTTGTACCTAAGGTCTAGTTGGAACACAGACATATTTTTTCGTTGTGTACTGTCTGTGGTGCTTTTGCACTGCAATGGCAGAGTTGTGTGGTTGTGACAGAGACTGCAGGGACCATAGAGCCTCAAGTTTTGTAGAGAAAAAGGTTACCATATCTTGGATTAAAACATTACGGGCCCACCTCCTCTCCCCACTTTGTCTTTTTAAATCCTTAAATGCAGACAGGAAACTAAAACTTCAAGATGGTAAAGAGAGATAAGAGGGTCCAGATTTGTTTCATAACTTGGAAGGGATTGTTTTTTATTTTAATTAAGAGTTAAGATGCATTTTTCATCTGAGAATGTTGAATGGTGTCTCCCTAGTCTAGTCTGGCACCACATTGACCTTCTGAAGTTTCCTCACTGCCTACAGGATACGCCCATGCTGTCCATGCTGTCATTTGAGGTCCCCTGTGGTCTGATGTATCCTGTTTCCAAATTTGGGTCTCATTTATTATCCCTATATTGTGGGCATACCCTGTGACTCTCTGAGCCCCCGTGCTTGCTCATGCTGTCCCCTTCTTCTATGCCTGTCCAGGCCCCCTTCACCTCCAGAACCCACCCCCTCTGCACTCCCAGCCTCGCAGGCTGCTCTCTCTCTCTAGACTTTGGTCTTGACCCTTTAACAGGGCTTTTACTTTGTATGCAGCTAGGAATATACCAGAAGACACTCTGCCTCCCTCCACCTTCACCCCATCTGAGACACATATGACAATTAGAAAGTATTTTCTATCTATAAAAGGCCTCAATTTCTCAGCAAAGTGGAGAAGTGACAGGAGAGAAAGTATGTAAACAAGAATATCAGAGAAGAAAGTGGGGAAGGTCAGAAGGTGAAGAAAATAGTATCATTAAATGTTGAGCAGTAGAGACTGTCAGTCTCTAGACAAAGCATAAAACAAGGATAAGAATAAAATACAACAGCTTTGCAGTGTTACAGGGTGTGAGGAACGGAATCACTTGTACCCTGTGGTGTCCAAAAAGGCCTAAGACATCCCAGGCACAGGTCTCTCTGTGCCCGGCAGCTCTTACAGGATCTGTGTGCTAGGCTAAACGAGACCACCAGGAAGACCAAGGAGAGCACTAATGCCTGCATTGTGGTGACCCAGCCACCAGGAGCCTTGAGCCCTGTACCTTACGGAATGCAAGGGTGGTGTGATGAAAGCCATCTTGGGAGACGGAGTCCAGCATCTCTACTGGAACATAACAGGTTGTGGCTAATTTTAAAAGAGAAAACAGACAGGTGATTTTGACTGGAAAGGAGAAATATAAAACCATGTTGATGGGTTTGTACAGTATGGGTTCATTTTCAGAATGAGGTCACGAGGTCATGACCTCATCACAAAACTGAGTTTGACAATCCTGGATGTATAGAAAGCTGTTCCTTTTCAACATCTCCTGACATGTTGCAGAAAAGCTGTTCAGCTTCTCTGCACGCTCAGGCTGCTGTTTCCAGGGGGTATGTAGTAGGGAGTGGCAAGCTACCACCCCTGTTACAACTACAAATAATTTAAAAAAAGAATGACAAAAGCTTTCTTTTAAGAGATATCAGAGAACTGTGAAAGGAAAGAGGACTACATAGACTAGAATTCTAGGTGAGTGAGAGTGCCTCTGTAGGAGCATTTGCCGCATCTGGGCACAGGCTGAGCATTGGACTTGCCCTGGGCAGAGCAACTCTAACAGTAAGAAGAAGCCAGCAGAACTTCTTATAGCCATGTGAGCCGCCATAAGAGAATGGGATCTAGAGGAGCTCCAAAGGTAGACAGTTTTCTGCAGGAGACTTTTACTAAGCCCTAGGCAGCATGGGGAGAGGAGGCTGGGCCAGAAAGGCTGGAGGAAGTGTCCTGCATTCTTGAAGTTCTGAAGAAACCAAGACAAGCTAGAGTAAGCACCTCCAGCAAATGCATCCTGATGTTATTACATTAAAACAATATAATATATATTTTCATATTGTTATTTTCTTCTTAGACAACTTCTTTAGGTTATATTATTAAGGAAAAATCAATGCTTTCTTTCAAATTGCGTATTTTGAAAACTGAAGTCAAAATAAAGTAACATGGTGCTATAATGCTTTATCTCCTCCACCACATCTCTGTATATATAAATATCTTGTTAATACTTGGGAGACTGTGGTAAGCCCAGTGGCCCTTGGGGTCTGTAAAAGATATGGGCAGCATTCCCCTGATGACTACAGATGAGTGCAAAAGTTCCAGAAAGAGAAACATACATGACCAGGAAGAATAGGCATAAACAGTAATCAGGCAGTGAGGACAGTGACCAAGGGGAGAGGGAATGGGGCCACGAGGGAATGACCTCATCACAAAACTGAATTTGACAATTCCAGACATGTGGCAAGATGCTCCTTTTAAGTATCTCCTGCCACGTTATGGTGAAAGTGGGTCCCTAGGGAGGTATAAGATGGGAAGTACCGATAATTCTCAGCAGGAAGGGTAGATGATGTCTTCATTTCTGGCCCGGTGCTCTGAAAATATGCTATGAGCAAATACAATTGATTGAGCTCAGTGTATTTTTGGAAGGGTAGTTTGACATTTCAAAATGAGACAGCATTATAAATCAATAGGTAAAAGGGAAAACAATAAATCGCTGGGTGAAAACACAATTGTACCGTTGATTGTTCCACCGAGGAGGCTGTTATTCAGAGGCTCTGCAGAGTCCCCGCCTGAAAGCTGTGCCACGGTGAGACCTTTTGTCTCAAATTAGAACACCTGGACCACCCTGAGAATGCAGAAAAAACCAGCAGCAATTTCAAATAATCTGAGAAGAACTTATATTTAAAGGGTTTTATGATGCTGAAAAAAAACTTGTCTTCTGATAGAAGCAAGTAGATCAAGCTCCCTTGGGTATAAGCAGACAAAGTACAATTTACTACTTTTGACTATGTCACTGTTGTTGGTGTGCTCCCAAAATAAAAATTTAAATGACATCAACAACAACAAACACACCTTGTCATTGGAAAACATCAGTGTCCTCTAGCCACAGGTCTCAAATACATGCAGGGATGGAGTACCTGGAATCATGGTCCTCCCTTTGCGAAGTGTATTGTGTGTATAATTCAGTCATGTGACTCTTACTAGAAGAAATTATGGCTAAATTATAGCATGCTACATATTTGCCATAAAATTTCAGCCATAAACACATGTGCATGAAAATCAATCTACGGAACTGTGATCAGCTATTCCCAACTATTTCCACAATATCCCAACACCACAAAAGCTTTTAAAAATTGGTATGGGAGAAGAACCCAAATTTTATAAATATATATTTATTAACATTTTTTCCCCCTGTGATTTGGGAAAATCTGGCTGTTGTTCAGCTGCAGCTGGACCTTAGCTAGTCTCAGGGTACCTGTGTTCCATTTGGCATAGAGTTTGAGAACACTCACCTACAGGCTTTTGAAGTTGTCTATTTGTTATGAAAAGGAGTATAAGTAGAGGAAATTCATAATTTTGATCACATTGTACATCTTCTTACAGAAGCATATTTCCCATCTTACAGATTTTGCAAGGATGTTGATCGATCACAAAGGCGTAGTTCTTGATGTATTAAATAGGATTAATTTCTAACTATTTACTATGACTTGGGAATGCATGTTTTCATAGTACTTTTTTCTTGCGTATCTATAGGCAGATGCTTCTATGCCAGACTTGGACTGTCTTAATGCGTAGTTATTAATAAATGTATTTTTTTTAGTGAGGGAGCAGAGGAATGTACTGAAGAGAATTTATGTCAACTCCCCCTTAGCAGGTTGTAGAGGACAGATAATCTTGTTATGATATTTAAAGGCTAGGTAATCCAAAGATAAGCTATGATTCAAAATCCACTGATTGTTACTGAACTGAATGGGAAGTTGGGGTTAGTTAAAATTCACCAGGCACTCACAATCATGGATAGAGAGCTAAGTTAACAGGTGTCTCTGGACATTACTGGATGTACATCAGCATGTGGCATGGGAGGTCTGGCCTCCCATGATCACTGGACCTGGCGGGTGGGGCAACTCATCCAGGCATAGAAAGTTAAAGGACAGCGAGACAAGAACACAGCCATGGTATAAGGTAGTATGACAAAAGTGCCCCATGTGAGGGTTTGTGGGAGCACAGAGCCTAGAGGGTAATGGTCACAGGTCACAGGGGTGCCTCTGCAGTGGGAATGGGTGAGCACCCTGGATCTGTTAGGCTCAAGCTTTCTGTTCTGATCCATGGTTGATAGAACTCTGCTGCTGGAGGAGCAGTGCTGCGAATTTTGTTTGGCGTTGTCCTTTCTGAGTACACTGCACTCTCTGGTTGTTTAATTCTCCAGGATCCACTAGTTCATGGACTATGGGAACTGATGACTCGCCTAATGTCACGGATGATGCCGCTGATGAGATCATGGACCGCATTGTCAAGTCGGCCACCCAAGTGCCCAGTCAGCGAGTGGTGCCTCGGGAGAGGAAGCGCTCCCGAGCCAACCGAAAATCTCGTAAGTGCCTGTGAGCTGCTGTGAGAAGCTCACCCCACAGGGACCTGACCTCCAGTTTTGTATGACGCAGGAAGGGCAGAGACTCAGAGGCAGGCTCCAGTGAATTGTCAGTGGTGCCGGGAGGGCCCACCTGTGCTCGTCAACAAAAGGTTTCATGTTTGACCGTCAGCTTTGGCCATTGTGGAGGAGGGTTGCTGCAACCACCCCTATCCAATGTATTAGCCATTTCTGGTCAGGCATCCCTCAGTTGTCCCCAGGAAGGCCTGAAAAGCCCTTACATTGTCTCTGGTTTGCAGAGGTTGGCACAAGCGTGCCCACTGCCAAGTATTGCCCTTGAATGCAGCTAGAGGCTGCGTTTCTGCCCTTCACCTAGCATGAGGGGCCACTCTCTGGGCTGGAGATGGTTCCTTAACCATGGCTGCACATTAGAACCTTCTGTAGAGTTTTGTAAATTCTAGGTGCTTGGGCTGCACCCAGGCTGACTACTTCAGAGCCTCTGAGGCCCTGCCCTGTCCCTCAGGCAATTGGTGGCATTAGGAGGCAGGCTCTCCCTCTATCGGGTGCATCCCCTGCCACTTGCCCTTCATTTTTTAAATGGAAAACTATCATTGAGGGGACTGGCTTTTTACATCTTCAAGAATATGTTTCTGGGCTCCAGCATCAATATCTAAGGACTTTATTTTTCCCAACATTTTTCTGTTTCTTGGTGCTGCTGTGAAGTCTTTGCCAGTCTCTTAGTGTACCCATATAAGAACTTGGCTAAGGACTTGCTACTCAAAGTTGGTCCTCAGACAATATGAGCATCTCCTACAGGCTGGTTAGAAAGGCATATTCATGGAGCCCATACCAGGGCAACTGATTCAGAATCTTCATTTAACAAGATTCCCTGGTGACTCGTGTGCACAATAGTTGGAACAGCACTGGCGTGTGAGGCCAAGAGTGGAATTACAGGGTCCTCAGGTTTGCACATCTTCAGTGGCAAACTCTTCTCCAAAAGGTGGGTCTAATCCACGCTCTCTCCATGCTGCGAGCTGAATCTCAGTTACTCTAGGCCGAGGCAGCTCTTCCCTTTTTGCCTGTCTGAAGGGGGTGAAATAAAATTTTCTTGTAGTTTTAACCGACTTTCCTGCATATTAGGAAGGTTGCACCCCTTGGCCATTTTCATCTCTTCTTTTGTGTATGCTTTGTCTATATCATTTGCCTACTTTTCTCTTGCTATTTTTCATGATAAAAAATTAATTTCTTAAAGTAGCTTTTTAAATGAAACTTAAGAAAGGCTTTTGGAGGTCTTAAGTAGTTTATCTTCAGTATTTGACATTGCTTGCCCTCCTATTAGTTAGTTATTGAAATAGACTGGTAACCCAATGGCAGAAACCTTGTACCAGCTCACTTCTGGTCTTGCTGCAATGGGTAATCTCAGTGTGAGAATCACCACTGCGAGGAGCTGGGAAAAGCATGGCAGCCTGAGGGGTGTTGGTCAGACCAATGGAGATGGGTAAAGCAAGGATGCCAGGTCAGGGAGTGTCCTCACAGAGGTGGACAGGGTTGGGCCAGGGACCTCAGAAAAAGAGACTGCATGAGACAGTGGCCTGGCCAGTCCCTGGAGGGTAAGTGTTGTTCCTACAGGTTACACATCTGTGTTGGCAATGAGTATTGGTCCTGCTCTCTGGTCTACAGAGAACCAGATTCTTAGAGAGACACATAATGTCACTGGGGGGAACAATAATACACTCATAATTAATTTTCTTCTTCCATCTGGCCAGAGAGATATTTTGCCTGTTTGTTGTTGACATAAAATAATTTCCTTTGGTATCGTTTCCATTCCAATCTTATGCAAAACAGCCGTATATTCTTTTTATTTAGCCAAACACATTTTATCCTGTGATACAGTTACTACAACAAATACTGCACTGCATGTATGTAAATGTTTATCTGTAACAGGTTTAATTTATTGGTAATGGCACCATCAACAGAAATTTAAGATGGAGGAAGTTACTTTGGTTTCTATTATAAAGGGGTGATGAACTCCAGCTTTTCACAAGAGGTTAAAGGAATAACAAAAAAAATTACAAAATCAATGTGGAGTTTCCCTTTTGGGCCTCACCCTGAAACAATGCTGTACTTGATTTGATTGTTTAGTGGTGGTGATGAGGCAAGTGGTTAATGAGTAACCAACATATTTGGGCTATAACTCATTTGGCTAAAGACGATAATAGTCCAGCTATTGCAGGAAACAGATTCCATCCCATAATCTAGAAATTTATGACCTTCAAGCCACTGGAGAATCCTCTGAGATAATTAAATGTTTGCTTTCATGTTTGATGCTAGTGGCCAGGACTACACAAGCCAAACGTCCTGCGAAAGCCTGAAATATGGGGCCACACCAAGGGCATCTTTATTGGTTTGCAGGTTCTCATGGCTCAGTTGTGCTGCTTTTCCGACTGGTGCCCTCAGGATATCATTAATTAAAATGTTTTGGACTGTCCGGTTGATTTCTAGCCTGTGAAATGGTTGATCCGATGCACCTCATGGGCTCCCCCAGATTCTAGCCAAGGCTCTCTCCTTGGCTGGTGCATCAGACCGAAGGAGAAAGTTCTTCGAGCTCTTTGTTTTTTGTTTTGTTTTTTCCTTATTTTGGTTTTTCTTTTCATCAGATTGGGGCAGATATTTTTTCCGGGAGCTATTTGTTCTCCTAGGCTCCCTGCATATTGGCCTTCCCTAGACAGCCCTGAAGCCGACTGGCATGTGAGGTATCCTTATGGATGTGACTGCAGGATGGGCCACGGTGACGAGTGTTCCCTGTATTCTTCTGAATGCTTCCCTGTATTCTTCTCTCTCGCACCCATCTTGGGAAGAGGGTTTCTGCCCAGCTGGCTGCCTGCATGTGGCCACTAGCCCAGATGGTCATGGAACAGTGTGGGGATGAAGGACTCATAGTCTGCCTTTTCTCTTTCCTGGGGGAGCCCAGGTCTTGTCAAGGTGGAGAGAGGCAAGATGTCCCTTCTCCTGCTGCCTTTCCCTCTGAGGGGGATCTGGGCCCCACCTGTGACATGACTGTGGAGTTTTGGGCTCAGGGCTATATTTCTATAACGATGTGATCACTTATATGTGACCTACAAGTAATTGACCAGTTAGCTAGTTAGAATCCTAAGGTTGGTCACCATTTCAAGAACAGTGTCTAAGTGGGCAGAGCCGGAGGTTCGATTTCAGGGCCTGCTGGGAAAGGAATGCAGAGCTCTGATTCGATTTCACGTCCTGGCTCCCATCCCTTCATATCATGACTTCCTCGTCAACGTGCCTCTCATGACGCTTTGACATTCCTCTCAAAGGGCATGTGGCATGTTTTATGTTGATTTGATATAACTAAACATCTAATTTTATTTCTCTTACAGAACATTGAGGTATGTAGCCATGCTATCTGTTAAGTAGAATTTCATGGAGAAAGAGAACAATTGCCTCTGAAAAATTATTGAATCTGTTTTTGGGGAAAACAGGATTTATGCCTCACAAAATATTAGATTCAGCCCTGGTTCTAAGCAGTACACAACTTAGTTCAGTTGTCTCTCTACTTTTCCAAAGTGACTTTTGAAAATACCCAGGCATTTTCCCACTAATTCCATTAAAAAATTTCCCTGCATTTTATTTAAATAGGTTTTTCTTACTCCCTGTGAACCATATTTATATTTATATAAAATGTATATTTATAGGGCACGCTAACAATGGCAGTAGGTCAGAGGCTTTGAAACTAATGCTCTTAGAATACAGTAAAATAAGATGTTAATGGAAAGAATTCAAGTTTCTTGATCAAACTTTTGTCTTCTCAACAACAGTATCATCACTGTTTACTGAGCACCTAATTATTCTGAGAGCTCGTTAAAGCTAGACCAATCCCTCCTTTAAAGACAGCTGAGGGTGCCCACCTATGTGTATAGGACACAGGACAGAAAAGTAAATAGAACAAGTCCATGAGAGAACCTAAAGTCTTAGGTCAAGAGTCACTTCATTTTAGAGGGTGACTCGAGGGCTTGTGCCAGTTGGGAGGAGTGCCACCATCAGTGTCCCCTCAGGCTGCAGAAGTAAAGGGAACCGAACAGGATGGAGCTGACAGTGGCTCTCTAATTCTTTGGGGAATACTTTAAGCCTATAGTAGGTTCCAAGACCTTTTCCCTTGGAAAGGAAGATGGGTAAGGGAGGAAGGCATTTGCAGCCTTTGCTCTGCATTGGGAGGGCTTTGGAGGCAGGGGTGGGTGGACACAAGAAAAGGACTTGGAAGGGGGGAGGTGTAGGGGGAGCAGTGAGGCAGGGGCATGATTTCTGTCTGGGAACTGGGGAGAGAAATGAGGCCCAAATCAGAGCAGGTTCTGTCAGAAGTAAAAACAGACCCCAAATCATCAGGGTCCTGAAAGGGGGTCCAAAACAAAACAGGGATGTACAAGCCTTGCTTCTGAGCCCACAGAGGTCGGAGCAGCCCCGTACCCCAGAGCAGAGCCAGGCTAGAGGCCAAAACTCTGATGTGGCAGGAAACTCAGGCAGAAGCCTCAGGGTTAGAGAGGTAATGCAGGAAGAGTTTGAAAGTGTTCCACTGCACTGAATGGCTTTCTGGTTGCTTCCTTTTCCAACAATTCACCCTCCCATGCTGAGCACTAGCATAGAAAGAGGAGGTTGGCTTGGGTATTCTCCACCACGTCTGTCTATGTGCCAGGCACCCGTTTGACCCAGAGTAAAAGTTCAAGAGGAATCAGTAAATAAAGGAATCTGAGGATCTGTCTTCCTTCCTGAGAGCCTGCCTTTTCCTGAGCCTCAATCAGATGGCAGTGATGTAAGTCAGGGACCTCAAACCTGACCCGTCATCCGAATCTCCTGGGGAGGTTAAAATGCAGCATGTGGGCCTCTCATGAGACCTTTGTTTTGTGTGTCTGGGGTGAGTCTAAGAAGTCAAATTTAAATCAGCCATATTTGAGAAACTTGGCTTGTTATTGCAGTGCCAAGTTTCATAATTT